AACCTTGCTTGAGAAGGTTAGATGTATATTGTCTCAATCGGGTTTAAGCAAGTCATTTTGGGCAGAGGCAATTAATTATGCATGTCACATCATCAACCGGTTACCCTCAGCTGCTGTTCAGGGTAAGACACCAATGGAGGTATGGACTGGAAAACCTTCTTCTGATTATGACTATATTCGTATTTTTGGTTCACCTGCTTATTTTCATGTGACTGAAAATAAACTTGATCCTAGAGCCAAAAAGGCTATCTTTCTTGGTTTTAGTAGTGGTGTCAACGGTTACAGGTTGTGGTGCCCAGAGATGAAGAAACTTGTAATTAGTAGAGATGTGACATTTGATGAAGAAAGTATGTTCAAGGACTCTAAGAAGAATGTGAAAGATGTCCAACAGGTGGAGCTTGAGAAAGTTGCCTCTGGTACTTCAAATCCTATTTCCGCTGATGTCGAAGCCACTACAAGTGAAGAAGTTGAAGATCATGAGGATGTTGAAGAAGTTGAACTTGAAGATTCTATTCAAGTTGAAGAGGAAGTTTCACCTTAAGAGTCTATTGCCAAGAATAGAGGAAAGAGACAAATTACCAAGCCAGCTCGGTATAGTGACTATGTTTCTTTTGCTCTTCCTATTATCACTGATGAGATTCCATCTAATTTTGAGGAAGCTATTGAGAGTGAAGAAAAGGAGAGGTGGTGCAATGCCATGGGTGATGAGATGAATTCTCTCTTGAAGAACAAGACTTGGGAGTTAGCTAAATTGCCTAAGGGCAAGAAAGCTATTGGTTGCAAATGGATGTATGCCAAGAAGGAAGATGCTGATGAGAAAAGCAATGTGAGATTCAAAGCAAGATTAGTTGCTAAAGGGTATGCACAAAAGGAAGGCATTGACTACAATGAAATATTTTCTCCGGTTGTGAAGCACTCCTCAATTCGTATTATGTTAGCTCTTGTTGCACAATATGATCTTGAGCTTGTGCAACTCGATGTGAAGATGGCTTTCCTACATGGTGATTTGAATGAAGAGATCTATATGTGTCAACCGGATGGGTATATAATGAAAGGGAAGGAAAATTTGTTTTGCAAATTGAAGAAATCGCTTTATGGCTTGAAGCAATCTCCAAGGCAATGATATTTGAGGTTTGATAAATTTATGAGAGGCCAAAATTATTCTAGAAGTCAATATGATCATTGTGTGTACTTCAAGAAGTTGCAAGATGGGTCTTTCATTTATTTATTGATATATGTTGATGATATGTTGATTGCCTCAAAGAATGTTGAAGAGATTGAGAAATTGAAGAAACAAATGAAGAATGAGTTTTAGATGAAGGATCTTGGTGAAGCAAAGAAGATCCTTGGCATGGAGATCACTAGAGATAGAGAGAAGGGTTTGGTCAGTTTGAATCAAAGACAATACCTTGAGAAGTTGATTCGGAAGTTTGGAGTTCATGATTCAACCAAACCGGTTAGTACCCCTTTGGCTCCTCATTTTAAATTGAGTTCTCTACAGTGTCCTAAAACTGATAAAGAGAAGCTGCAAATGAAAAATATACCATATGCAAATTTGGTTGGTAGTTTGATGTATGCAATGGTATGCTCTAGACCGGATATTGCTCATGCAGTTGGCATGGTGAGTCGATATATGCATAATCCAGGTAAAGAGCATTGGCAAGCAGCTAAGTGGATATTGAGATATCTCCATGGTACTCGAGATGTTGGTTTATGCTTTGAGAGAGATGACTCTGGTATTGGTCATTTTTGCAGTTGGTTATGTTGATTCAGATTATGCAGGTGATCTGGATGGAAGGAAGTCTACTACAGGCTATGTGTTTACTATGGCTAAAGGGCCAGTTTGTTGGAGGTCCATTTTGCAGTCGTCTGTTGCCTTGTCTACTACAGAGGCTGAATATATGGCAGTTGCTGAAGCTATAAAGGAGGCCATTTGGATACATGGGCTGATTAGAGATTTGGGGGTTGATCAGAAACAGGTGGAGGTACATTGTGATAGTCAGAGTGCCATTTATTTGGCTAAGTATCAGGTTCATCATGCGAGGACCAAGCACATAGATGTGCGTTATCACTTTGTTTGTGAAATTGTTGGTGAAGGGGAAATCATTCTCCAGAAGATTCCAACTAAAGACAACCCCGCCGATATGTTGACTAAGGTTGTTGGTGTAGCCAAGTTTGTTCACTGTTTGAACTTGGCTCACATTATGCCTATATAAAGAAGACGTTGAGCAGTAGGAGTTTTGGAGCATTTGGCTCGGCATGAGTTGTTCTCTTGCTAGTGTTTGGTAGTGATGTTGTGTGTTAATTGTGTTGGTTGGCTTATCATGGTTTTTTTCGGAATTTGGCCAAGCTGGAGATTGTTGGAGTATGTGGCCAAGTGGCCAACTTTTGGCTATAAAAAATTATAAAGGAAAAAAAGGTAGACAACCACTTCCATGTTTTGGGGAGGAAAATATGGAACCTTGTCTAAAGTCATTTTGTTTTTCTCTTTGACCCATGTGAAAAGCCTCGTGAATGGCTATGTTATGAAGAGGGCAGCTGCTGCCCTTTTGTTTTTGAAGAGAGCAGAAAAATTAGAGAGCCGAAGAGAAGAGAGGGAGAGAAAGAAGGTACTGTTGCAGTACCATTTTCAGAGAAGGAGTTGTTGTTCCTTTCATTGGATAGTTCTCACTCCATCAAAGTGTTATTGTTGTAATAGCTTTGAACTTTGTATAGAGAAAAAATTAATCACTATATTTCTTTCTCTATTTGTTTCTTTAGTGTGTGAGAGTTATTGGTGTATTGGGGTTTTGGGTTATGAGCTTGCCAACACTTTGTAAACTCCCATTTGGTTGATAGTGGATTATTGGGTGAGCTCCTACTGCTCCGAGGACGTACTCCAGTTACACTGACTGTTGAGGAACCTCGTTAAAATCTTGGTGTCTTTAATATTTTGTTCTTGCATTTCATTTGATATATTTTCTGTGGGTTATCAAGAGTTGGTTCCATAAGGTTTGGTGCTATCCTAGCACAACAGAATCTTGTTTAAAGAAACCTTTAGCATTTCAAGTGTTAGATTAAATGACTGATGAAGATTCTTATGAAGCTTTTTCTTAAAACGGAGTCACCTAATTTTGGAAGTTTTCTTTTTTCACTGCTTAATACAAGCATTAGAATTCCTTTCTCTGCACTGCTGTTGCTTATACTAACCTCTGATTGATTGCCATGTAACTGGAGAAGAAATGAAAGTCTCGTCTCGACACAATTTGAGAACTATATAAGAAGGAAATTTAACTTTAACTTCTAATACACTCGTTCAGAAATTACCAAAAAGAAAAATACAATGATACATATATGGCTAATGTTAGAACAAGAAGACTAGTTGCCTGACTGACATACTGCTAGCAATTACCTGACGATAATGATTCTGTTTTCATCCTATTTTATAATATTTTCTTCCAAATCATGTCTTGAATTTTGATGAATGACTTTTTTTCTTTTCCCTTTGTTCTTCCTTTGTGAAATAGTTTCCTTGATAATTTGGTATTATTCTTGATTTTTTTTTTCAAATGAAAACTCTGTCAAATAAAGCACCAAATCGTATAACCTAAGACACATTCTTAAAGAATAATGAATTCAAGGAGAACATTGAATCTAGAGAAACGAAAGGTAGTATATAGGATTTCATTTAATATACGATGTCCTTTATGAATCTAGCCTCCAAGTCACAAGAAAATTCTCCTTTCCTCCAAACCTATTTGCTTGGTAGTTATGGGAAATGGAAGCCTTGGTGAAGTTTGAACTTTCCTGCTCAGTAATTGATGGTGCAAGAGCCTAAATGGCCGATTAAGATTTTCTTATGAAGACTTTTCTAAAGATGGGTCACCTCATTTCTTAAGTGCTTAATGCGAATACTGGAATTCCTCCTTATGCACTGATGTTGCTAAACGTGGTAGAATGGATTAATAGTTTTGCTAAAACCGTTTTGTTTTATTTTTCATTTTGTGATACGAACATGACGGGTGCATTAATGAGATTTGGAGTTATTTTGGGCATTGGCGTGCAAGCTGAGGGTTTTACTTTCTTAAGATTTTAAACTTAATTATTTTTTTCTCACTTATTTTGTAGTATTTGATTAATTTCAGGTTCTTAGTTTATTTGGCAATGTCTATAGGCCTTATTTTGATAGGTTTTCAGACTTCAAGCATTTTGTTTGAGCAAGTAGATAGAGTTTATGCTGTTTTGTCTCTCTCCCTCTCTCTCCCACCCACCCATATACTTTTCTCTTCTTATTGAATCCATATTCTCTCCTTTCATCTATATCCTTATCCTCTATTTATATTATTTTCTTGTTGTCCTGCATCACTTTAGAAACAGAGCAACTGTGGTGGTACCAGATAAATCTCGATAAATATATATGATGTCTAGAAATAGCATTTATACGACTTTTTATTATCCTTTGCTTTCAGAAGTTAAGACCCACAAGTGGAGAAAAGAAGAGAGACCAAAAGAAGGTGGAGAAAGAAAGCAATTAGGAACAAGTATGTTGAAGAAATCGGTTTTCAGAAGAGGACAGAGTTTCTCATGTGGTGGGCATGGGGCGATATCTTGATTAGTCCTTGGAACTACTGTATGGAGGCCTCACAATTTGTGGAGGCACCGAAATTTGAATGTAACCTTGCTCCTCCACCTTGACGATTTTTGGTGTGCCATTATGTCTACAATTAGTAGACAAAAATAAAGAAGTCATTCGATATATCATGTCTTTCCATATCTTAAGTAAATGTTTCTTTATATTTCTTGTTCATTTGTCGAATAATAAGTTTTAAACGGAGGGAAAACGCTTGGGGACAGCGGCTCTTCTACAAATGTGTTTCTTTTATCTTCTAGATGTTATTAGTGATGAGCGTCGTTATAACGTAAATTATTATTGGATTTTCAGTTTCATTGTCTGAATCATAGTGAATGCTGAGCATTAGCTGTTTAATTCAAATGATAGATTTAGATTTCTATCCTGTTAGGTGAATGCAAAATGATGGATTTGATGCCTTGATCACTTCAGACATGCCATGAGGCTTGAGTTGATGGATAGCTCTCCCTCAGCATGATCTTTTGGACAGTGGGTACACCATGTTATCTGCAGTTATTGGCGTCGGCAGTCGACGTCTTGGAGTGCTTGTGGTAGGTACTGCTCTTGCTTTCTCTGCGGTGATCCTTTGGCCATGAGGCTCGAACCGAGCTGATGAAAAGTACTCAGGTGGATTTTTAGAACAAAAGACCAAGCATGTTATCTGTCGACGATATATACTGTTTGTGGTATGCACTGCACTTCCTGAAAACAGATGGGGAGTGTTTTGTTTGATTCTCAAGAGAATTTGATGCGCCTCTTGCAAAAGGGATTTCCTTTTGCTTGTGGTTTGGCTCCTCTCTTTTATTTAATTTTCTCATTTTCATATAGATGAATAATTGTAGTACTAGAGACGCTAACTGATGTGATAGTGTTTCATTTGTTTTCTGTTTGGATCCACTTTGAGGCTTATTTCAATCAAATGACAAATTTCCACATGAGTTGATAAGCAAAAGTTTGGTGTAATGAGTTTATCTATTGTTATTTCGCGAGTAAACATGCACGCACATCTGAGCAACAAACCCTCGAGACAAAATGAAGAAATTAGATGGTTTTGAAGGAATGTAGTTTCATTAATGACTAATTCATTTTTCATCTTTAAAAAATTAAAAGTCGGCCTTTAAACATACCATTAATGTAGCGAGTTATCTAGTCCATCAGATCATTTGCAACAAACTCAACGGTTTTGTTTGGGTTGTGTTCAATTGGAGAGTAATCACCACCCCAACACAACCCAACAGCAAGACAGAAGCTGTGTTCAAGAATATAAGGATGAAATTATGGAAGTACACACATTTGAAATCTGCTGTGCGTTGACCTTTTCTTCTGCGTTGTATTTTTGGCCATAATATCCGGATTTAGAAGATTTGACTTAGAAGACCATCAAAGATAAATCTAACTAAATAATGAAGTTGGTCCAGGTTCCAAAAAAACAAAAAATATAATGAAGTTGGTCATAGAAAAAGGTTGATTTTGATTAAGTACTATATTGACTAATAACAACGAGGTTTTAGTAGTATTGTTTGTTTTTTTTCGTTTATATTTTTTGTGGATAACGAGTTCAACCTCAAATTATTATAATAGGTTCAAATTGTCAAGTAGCAAAACAAAGTGGAAAGAAATGGAGAGAGATGGGGGACAAATCTTGTGTCTAGCAAGCATGTGGGGAATATGCTTTCCATTCTTTCCTTCCTAGCCTCCCCCATGTTTCTGATATTGTTTGCCATACGTGACACATTTTTCGGAAGTGACTTTGGTACACCATTTTCTTTTCTTGTACTCTCTCTCTCTCTCTCTCTTCAGTAGAGATTAAAATAAATAAAGAGAGATTGAATAAATAAAGAGAGAATCAACAAGAAATTCATGACAAAATAAAGAGTACTCGGAGACAACGGGTGTGGAAATCAATACCCTTTTCCTTGCCTGTTGCTTGAGGCTGAGAATATGTATTCAATTTAAGGTCAATAAGGTTTTATGGCTGATAAAAATTAGTGAACATGCATGTTATGACATAACCTCTTTATCATAATAAGCATGCTTCTAGTCCGTAGTATTTCTCTTTTCAGTGTTGAAAAGTGCCTCGAGTTTAAATTTCCCTCCTCGGTCGGTAAAGAGAAGAGATAACCTCAAGACTGAACGCATAATTAAAGCAAGAAAAGCGGGGGAAGTGTGATTTGAAGCATTTCACCAGATTAACCTCTCAAAACTGTACAAGAAACCTAAAACCATCACCATTCAAACCCATGAATCCCCTCACTGATAGTGTTCTCTTATGTTCTAGAAAATTAATTGCTAATTGTCCTTGGAAGGTTTAGAAAAAGGATTAAAACTAATTAAGTCTGGTTTGAAGATTGCTTTATTAGGGGTTGGGAGGTCTTTCCGCATTCTTCAGGCTGGCTCTTAACCTCCATTAGCAATGCCACCACTTCCTTCATGCTTGGTCTTTCTGCAGGCGACGAGTTTACACAGAACATTGCTATTCCAAGTGTTTGCAGCATCTCTTGCACCATTTGATCCGGTAGGCCTTGGAGCTTTGTATCTAGTATCGATACAGCTGGTTCGAAGCTTCCCATTTTCTTCTTCACCCATTCAACAATGTGTAGCCCGTCACCAATCTGTGGCTGTACAGCACTACGCCCGCTTAAGATCTCCAGCAGAACCACACCATAGCTGTAGACATCACTCTTCTCTGTTATGTTCATCGTGTATCCGTACTCTGCGATTGTAACAGATTGAGATTATTAGTTGAACAAGATTGTGACACAAATACTCTCATAAAACCAATGGGACAACTAATTAGAAAAAATGAAGTAGCTAGTGTTACCTGGGGCAATATAACCATAAGAGCCAGCTACTCTCGACATTGCGTGGTGGTAAGTTGGGGAGTTCATCAGCTTTGCCAGACCAAAATCTGCCAGATAGGCCTCATACTTTGAATCCAGCAGTATGTTATTGCACTTGACATCCCTGTGCAGAATTGTCGGGACACAATCGTGATGAAGGTATGCTAAACCTTGAGCTGATCCGATTGCAATCTTGTACCGAGTTTCCCAATCCAAGTTCCTATTCCCTTGCAATAGCTGCTGCAGATTACCATTGGGAATGTAGTTATAAAGAAGCAGCTTGACGCTTCTATTCGAACAGTAACCTAGGAGTTTGACAATGTTCCGATGGCGAATGTGTCCAAGAATTTGAATCTCTGCAGCAAAAGAGTCTATCGGTTCTTCCTCTTGCTTCGTTTTCCACAGTTTTTTCACCGCAATCAAATCCCCATTATGCAATTCAGCCTTGTAGACGATTCCAGAACAACCTTTTCCAATCACATTTTCCTCCTTCAAACAATCCAAGATATTATCAATGGTGAAATTGAGCTTCTGAAATGGGATGAAAGTCCATGGATACGAGAAATCTTCAGCCCCCGACGAGGCTGCCATTGCTCCTAAAGATTTCTTTACCATATGTCTATGATTTCGCATAACAAGAATCCACGAGGAAACAACTGCCATGGTTACTGACACCAGAATCACAGTAATTAAAGCAACAGTTTTTGCGGATTTCAAACCATTCTTCAGCATTAGACTTGACGAACAAGTAGTCCCATCAACAGACTCACAAAGATGTGGATTCTGAGCATATGAATTCGAAGAAAGAGTTCTAAAGAATGGCGTAACTGGGATGGCACCCGAAAAATTGTTGCAGGAAATATTCAGGGAAGTGAGACTAGTTAGAGAACCAAGAACCTTAATTTTTCCATAGAGCATATTATGCGACAGGTCCAGTGATTGCAACTGCATCAAATCCGCCATTGTCTCTGGGATTTCTCCAGTAAAACTATTGGAGCTCAAGTCCAAACTGATTGTCAAGCTTGTTACACGACCAATTTCGGGTGGGATTGGACCGGAGAGGCTGTTAAAGCTCAAATCCAGCAGAGTTAGCTTCTGCAGGTTCCGGATAGATTTTGGTATCGTACCCGTGAGTAGATTGTTGTTGGCAATGAGCTTGTCCAAGTAACTTAAGTTGCCAAAGCTCCAAGGAATTTCTCCGGTAAAGCTGTTTCTGCTAAGATCAAGCTGCTCCAAATTCACAAGCTCCCCAAGCTGAGGCGGGATTTCACCACTGATATTGTTGTTGTGCACATCCAACATTTCAAGAACTGTGATGTTGGCAATCTCAAACGGCAATCCTCCAGAGAAATGATTCATGTACAAGTCAAGGAAAACGAGGTTTTGCAGCTTGCCTATCTCCATAGGAATCTGTCCTGAAAGCTGGTTCTCCCCAAGCCTTAACCTGACTAGAGATTGACAATGTGCAACGCTTCGTGGCAACCCGCCCGACAAAGAATTCCCCAACAGCAAGAGCTTGCTCAGCTTCTTCAAACCGAAAATCTCTTCTGGGATCGACCCAGTAAGCTTGTTTCTTGAGAGATCAAGTGCATAGAGCTCAGTGCAGTTGCCGAACGAAGCTGGTATAGTTCCCGATACAATATTGCCCCACAAGAAAAAACTCTGCAAGAGTTTGAGATTGCCAACCTGCCAAGGAATTGTACCTGACAACTGATTCTTGTCAAGCTGAAGAGCAGTGAGGCTGGTGCAGTTGCTGAGCTGGGATGGAATTGCTCCGGTCAGCATATTATCGGAGAGATGAAGCTGTTCGAGAACCACCAGCTTCCCCAAGTCTGTTGGGATTGGTCCAGGGAGATCATTGGCAGAAGCATCGAGAATAACAAGGGAAGAACAGTTTGAAATCTCAGCTGGGATTGGTCCTGACAATGCATTGCCCCAAACAAGCAGGTTGGTGAGCTTTTGCAGTTTCCCCAGCTGTGGAGGAATTGAACCAGTGAGCTTGTTCATATGCAAATACAAATCCCTCAGCTCCGAACAAAGTCCGAGTTCCGGAGGTATTGAGCCAAATATCTCAGTATCATAAAGAGCCAGTGTTTGGAGGTTGATCAAGTTCCCAAATGTGGATGGGATCACCCCCGAAAGGGAGGTAGCCGCTGCGCCAAAAGTTGTGAGGTTAGTGAGCAGGCCTAGTTGGGATGGGATTTCGCCGGTGATATACGGATTCCCTCCAACACGAAACTGTTGGAGGGAAACCAGAGAGCCCAACTGAGATGGGATTGGGCCGTTGATGAGGTTGTCTTGGAGACAAAGCACTTGGAGGGAAATGAAGTTGGCAAGTTGTTGAGGTATTTTCTCTGAAAGTTTGTTGGAGTTGAGTAAAAGGAACTGGAGAGCGGAGAGGTTGCCTAGCTCCGGTGGAATGGGGCCGGTGAGGGAGTTGGAGGACAAGTCGAGGAGGCGGAGGTGGGTGAGTTGGCCAAAGGAAGGTGGGATGGTGCCGGATATGTTGGTGGAGGAGAGGTTGAGGAGCTGGAGATATGAGAGGGAGGAGAGATGCGGAGGGAGGGAGGAGAGGTTGAGGAAAATGTTGGGGAGAGAGAGTGAGATTACTCTGTTTTGGGGAGAGCATGTTATCCCTTGCCATGAGCATGGTGTTTCACTTGATGAGTCCCATGAGGAAAGCACAGAATATTGCTTTTCAGGGAGGAGGGAGAGGAGGGCTTGGCCATCAGAGGACAGAGAGGTAATTAATGAGATTTTGGTCATGGTTATGAAAATCAACAATCTGAAGGAAAATAGTAAATGGGTTGTGTTTTGGACCATTTTTTTAGTGGTTGTGGGGGAAAATTAGGGCTTGAAAATGGTGGTGGTTGCGGTGGTGGTGGTGGTGGTGTTGAAGAAGGACGATGGTGGTGGTTGTGGTGTTGAAGAAGGACGATGGTGGTGGTGGAGAGTCTTAGTGTGAGGAGTGAGAGGAGGAAACAAGATGCATGTGGGAGGAAGTTTGCGTGGTTAATGAGATGGGAGAATGCTTCAATTTCACAACAAGGTGTTGAAGTTGAATAAGTTGAAGGCATGCATGTGAACAAAAAAGCTTGTGTCACACATCTTTAAAGTGCAGTTATATACAGCTCAGTTAATGTTTTGGTCAAAGCAAAAATGGTGGAGTGTGCTGTTATCTCACCTGAAGTGCTCTTTCCTCTTCTATTTTAGTCCTGGCTGATCAGCCTGTGCTCTTGTGGTGGTGGTGGGGGTGGTGGTAGTGACAAAGGTTCAAAAACTCTTTCTGGACTAATTAACACAGCCAGAAATGTTGGTGTGTGTTTGAATAGTTTCAAGGTTGGAGTGGTGGCGCTGTGGTTGCTATGAGGTATGAGGCCTAAGGGAGGTAGGAGACTACTACTATTTTTCTCTTTGCTTGTGTTGTGTTTCCAAGACCTTGAAATCCCCTTCCCTGTATGCAATATAGTATCACCACTGATTTTGTACTCTATATTTCCTACACTTCTAGGGAAGGCTTTAGCACCCCTTATCAATTGGATTGCCCAAATTACCCTTTGTGGGGAGTAAAGCCGGGTCCTCATTCCTAATAATTCCTAATACCCTAGGGGCAATTCCTGCACACTGAAGTAGTGTTGCTCGTATCATTTTTCTCACTGTCGCACTTGGTGTGATGGCAAGTGTCTTCGCCCATGATCGGTATGTCTCGGGTTCGAGACTTGGGAGCAGCCTCTCCATAAATGGGGGTAAGGCTAGCCGACATTCACCTCTCCCAGACCCTGCGTAAAGCGGGAGCCTTGTGCACTGGGTACGACCTTTTAATCATGCATTACTATACATTTTAAACTTACACATAACAATGCGTCCTTAGTTTGAAATATTGTCTCAACAATATCTACATTGCACATTTGGAAGTCCTTGTCCATAGTATACTTTTTAGTGATAAGAGATACTTGGAACCTTTATTTTAAGGACCACAATGTTGAATTTGGGATCACTTACTTTAAATTGGGGTAAAATTCGACCATAAAATCAATTGGCTATATAAGAAATAGCTTAACTTACTTATAAGACAATGCAAGGTCTCTCCTCCCCATCAATATGAGACTCATTCTCAACACGCCCCCTCACGTGTGGCGAATTTTCAAGCCTAACACGTGGACAACACAACGGGATGACATGGAGTACATGTGGCCATTTGGCTTCACACGTGGAACAACCTGCTCTGATACCATGAACAAAGTTGAGGTTCCACCATAAAACAAATTGGCAATATGGGGAGTAACCCAATTTCTTATAAGCTTATGCAAGGTCCCTCCTCCCATCAATATAAGACTCATTCTCAACACAACCCCTCACATGTGGTGAATTTTCGAGCCTAACATGTGGACAACACAATAGGGTGACATGGAGCGCGTGTGGCTGTTTGACTTTACACATGGGACAATCTGCTCTGATACAATGAAAAAATTTGAGGTTCCACCATAAAACCAATTGGTTGTATGAGGAATAGCCTAACTTACTTATAAGTCCATGCAAGATCCCTCCTCCCATAAATGTAGAACTCTTTCTCAACAAAATATGCCTATCTTTATACATCATGTAATGATTCAACAGTTCAAATTAATCTAAACTGCGAAATGAGGCTATCTGAATCATATTTACTCTGTTGGTTTAATGAAACTAAGACGTATCTATGTAAGTGAATTTCACTTTTCATTGAAAATATATGATCCATAAAATGGTTGCTAAGATGTTACTAAAAAATAAGATAACTACTAAACAATTTTGATGCCAATAGCAATAGAATAATTGAAGTAATAAGATAAGTAACTGCATTTAGGCCTGGACAGAATCAAAAGTTTCAGAGTCTATTAGGGCATGGGGGTGGCAGGCAGTGTGAGGAGGAGAGACTGCTTGCTGCCTAGGGAAGAGAAAATAAAAGACTTTGATGAATTATAATGATAGTATTGGAGTGAGTGAGGCAGAGAAGGGCATGGAAGATTGTGAAAGTTAAAAGGGTTTGTTTGAAGTAAGCAACCAATTTCAGTGTCTTTTTCTAGCATAATAAACTATGCGACCTTGCTGGATATTATATGGAGGGAGACTGAGAGGAGTCGGGATTTAGGGTTAGCGTGCAGATAGAGGAACTTTTATTAGGGTTTACTATTTTTTTACTGCTGATCACTGTGGTAGGGTGATATATAGTAGAGTGGCTGTGATTTGTTTACCGAGGGAGAGGTGGTGGGTTTGTTTTGGGAGTGGCGCGGGCAAAAGAAAATTTACATGATCACATGAATGAGAGAGAGACAGAGAGAGCGCGAGAGAGAGAAAGAGAGGTGTTTTTGAACATATATATATATATTATTAGGGCACAATGCACTATTTAGGGCTTTAGGTTTTTGACTGTATTGTAAACGATTCATCGGCACGAGATATTCATCTCATTAATGTCCCTCTCCCTCTTACTCTCGCACAAAAAACCATTTCAGTACAATCAATTTAGTAATGTCCCATGAGTTTGATGAAATAGAGAAATAGTGGTGTATAAGAGCATCTTTATCGTAAGTTTAAGATGCACGAACATCTACAATGAAAGATGTATAATGCCTTCGAATGAACATGTTATAACTTAAATATCAATTTTTGAAGTTCATTGCATTGATATTTTAGTGAGCGGGTCAAGATGGATATTTTACATCACCTTAAAAAAAATTGTTAAACAATGATTTTGTTAGACTCGATATTAGATTAGCCATCGACAATTCGAACTCACGTTGTCATACAAAGATTCAACACATTTCCACCACTATGATAAAAGGCCACTTGCACCTTGAAAAAAAATTTCCTTGATAACTTTGGCCAACAAGTAATGTAAAATGCACATTCCAATCTCCCATTGGATATGCTCTAAAGACCACACTAAGAAAATATTTTATGACAAAAAATCACATTTTTCCATCTTAAATTTGACGCAAAGGATTTGTAACTTAGTTGGTTAAGAACATTCACCTTTGCATTACAAAGTCTTGAGTTCTAATCTCAATCTCTCAAATTCTCAATATTGCTTGTATGAAAGAAGAGAAAAACTTGGTGGTTGGAGATGGTAGTTGTGTGCCAAAGGCTAAAAAATATCTTAAGCCTCTTCAACCAGTTCTAATTGATTTTCGGTTGGATACTCACATTGCAATTACTATAGTGACCTTTAACCTAGTTATTATTGGACATTGGGCAATTCTAATTGAAACCGCTATGTGTTGTGGCACATGCAGCTGCTCGTGGAAAAATTGATGATATGGACATTGGGCAGTAAGACGTCCTTGATGCTCTAGGCCCATATCTTATGTCTGTTTGTTGAGATTTGATGCGATGGTTCGATTATCCAATTTTTGAAATAATTGTATAGTCGATCGATTTTCATAATTGACAATAATCTGACCGTAAGGTTGCCGTCCAATTTTGTGAGCTTGATATTTTTTGATTGTCATACTTAGGAGAACTTATGAAACGAAAATCCGACATTCGAATCTTTCTGTTTGGAGAATCTTGGATTGTGACCTAGTGGGGCCACTTTGATTAACGGTTGACCCTTTAGCTAACACGCCCTAAATTATTCTGGTGTCTCGTAATTTATAGGATTCTTAGATAATACTTGTGTATTTTATAGGCATTGATCGTGTCCTAGTGCTTCAATCATCAGCCTAGGATTGGTAGTAGCTTGGACTCAAGGTGAGTGACTTTAATATTATGTGATAAGTATTGGAAATTGTTATTAGCACTCCAAAATCTCATTTTACACTCTTCACAAGTGTATCTTTCTTTCTAATTATAGAAAGTTTGGAGTGCCAAATAAGATTTTTGGAGTGCTAATAACAATTTCCTAAGTATTTTGCTTACGAAAATCCCTATGTTGCTATACTTTGTGGATATAACATGGATTTATAAATGTTTTTAATGTCAGTCATCGATCTGCTTCGTGAAATGCATATATATATATGTATTTGTATATTTGAAAGGTTTGTGAAGTGTGAGAACTAGTAGATGACCGGTATCCTAAACTACTTTCTTTTTTATTTCATGTGTGGATCTTAAATCTCTAGTTACCTTTATTTCTGATTCCATGAATGCATATGGAATCCTACTAATACTGTATATATGGATGCCATTGAGTGAGTCTGGATCCCTACATTCTGTTTGGTTCCATTGAGTGCGTCTGGAATCCTATTTCATATCTTGTGTATCTTTTATCATATTCCATGAGTCATCTGGAATGGGAAACGTTATGATTTATACTAGCCTTACTATTTATTATTAATATGAAAGAGATGATTGAGTTCTGGATCAATCATAAAAAGATGGTAGGGTGACTGTGTTGATTCAATCAAGTTTTGTGAACGAAGTTATTTTATGAAAAGGATTGTGAAATCTTTTATAAATAAGATAGTGTTGTAGCCTATTTTATCTAACTAAAGGGAAGGGGCTGGTGGTAAGGAGAGAGAGAGAGAGATGTGTTTGTAAAATAGTAGGGGAATGTCTGTGTGTTATTCCAGAGGGAGAAGAAATCCTTTATCCCTAAGGAATACAAGTTCATATAGGAAAGAATAACTAGAATCAAACCTAATATAGGATTTACACAATCACACATAAACTAAGAAAGTTCATAATGTTCCCCCTTAAGTGTGTAAATACTCAAGGTAGATTTAGCATCATGCAGAAGTTAAGAAAGTTGACTCATCGACACTAATTCTAAGGAACAATGCTTATTTTCAATAAGGTAGGAACTTGCATAAGGAAGTAAGTCTCACTAAAAAATCCTAAGGCTATGGCAAAAACCCGAGTAGGGACAAAACCATAGTCTAAGGAAAAATGTGTGAGAAATGCAAAGTTAAAAGAAATGTCTATGGGACGTCATTAGGGATATGATCAGCCCAAGGTGGGTGCCTCGTTAAAACCTGGTTAGGTAGTAAAAACCCAGTGGGAAAAATGCTCCTAATCGTAGGGAAAAAGAGTGAATTAAGATCAAGCAAGTATACTTCAGGATACTCCCCTTGAGTTTGACATAATTCCAAAGTGAAATAAAAATGTTACAACTAGAAAGTTTATGCATACCTATTCCTTGAACAAGCTTCTGAAACGTTGTCTTTTGTAGTGATTTGGTGAAGAGGTCGACCAGATTGTCTTGTGAATGGATTTGCGTGACTTTAATCTTTTGATGCTCTTGTTGTTGATGTGAGAAGAAGAACTTCAGCGCAATGTGCTTGGTGTTGTCTCTTTTGATGTAACCTTTATTGAGTTGTTCGATGCATGCTACATTGTCTTCAAAGATCATCTTCGGGACATCAACAATGAGGTAAAGATCACAGGAGCTTCAAATATGACTCACAACTGCTCTCAACCAAAAGCATTCCCGAGTTGTTTCATGTAATACGAGAATTTCAGCAT